ATGGCTGGACGAGTGGTTCTCGGGGTAGCCGCGGCAACTGGGTCAAGAAAGGCGGGGCGAAATGACTGCCCCTGGCGTCAGCGGGGGCCGACAGCATCGTGAAAAAAGGTGATAACAAGCAAGGCCGCAGAACCGGTGGGGGGGAGGATGAGGGCAGTGTTCAGTCATGTGCAATCGAGTGAAAGGGTAAACCCGGTAGGGTGGCCAACATTCACGGAAGGAAAGAGGTAGCCTTAATAAGTGGAGAACAATCATATTTAGGTCGGACAGGAGTTCTGCTGGAGAAGGGACATGAAGAATTTCAAATTTGTTTAGCCGGAAATAACACCGACATTGTCGTGGTATTTCAATACAACTTTTTTCCTGTGTTCTCGAAACAAATATAAACTTGGAAATGCCAAGATCAGACTGATAGAGCGGAAAACTTCGATAGTCGTTTTAAAAATAAGCAGTAAGCGGAAAAGTCGGATCCGTAGTTGTCAGAGGGCATATCCAAAAATGACAGAGATAGTCCCAGGAGATATCAGATAAGATGCCTTTCTCAGTCGTGGCCTCTGAATGCACTACTATAATCATGGATATGTTTCAAAATCATCAATTGTTATAACATTAATGATATAATAATGGTCATTTCGTACTGAATTTGGAATGGTGCTACTTGAATTTGATAAACATACAAAGACAAATTGTGTGTTCCGTGTAGTTGATCGTCCGTAGTTTAACAGATCGCTTTGCACAGGTTAAAGGCGGCAAATGTTAAGAAATTAAAACGCAACCATTTGCTTTTCACCCCACACACTTTAATTCAAGAACTATTCAGAAGTTTGTGAAAATAGCATATGCATTTGCAGTTTTTGGCACCCAAAAAGAATAGCAGCTATTCGGTACTGCTTATACATTAAACTGAGTTCAGTTAATTGCTATTAGTGGAGCTTTTAGGCCCAAAAGAAGGCCAAGTCATTGTCCTCAGCGGGAAGGAAGCTGGGTTATTTTGTCCATTATTGCTCTCACGGAATAAGTGAATTAACTTGGGAAATTTGATAAAAGTACACAAACCACAGTTGCAAGCAGATTACAAGGAGGCGAAGCGTAATACTCAGCAGTTTATTTTTGTTTAGTTTCTTTCATAAGAAGCATTCAAAGTTTA